TTCTTTACAACTCTTGTTTTAGGCTATCATATAAATCCTATGTGCACACCTGTAATCTCAGCTCTCAGGAGGCTGAGGCAGGAGTCTTGAGTGCAAGGCCAGCCTGGGCAACTGAGATATTGCCTTAAAACGTGATTCATAAAGGGCTGCGGAATAGCTCAGGGGTAAAGCGCTTGCCGAGAATCCATGAGGCTTGAAAAGCAAAGCCAGGCCAGAAGAAAGCTCTTGTGCCCGTGGGTGGTGTGGGCGGGATGCAGGAGTGAGGAGGGTTCTCCTGAGCCCTGCAGCAGACAGCACAGGCCCTGTTAAGATCTGAGGAGGGGCGGTGCACGGACGGGGTGTGGCGGGAGTCTCCCCGGGGCTCCCCGGTGAGCTCCAGGTCCAAGAGGGAGGTGAGCTTCCTTCCGGGCCGCCCCTTCCGCCCCATGGAGACACAGGCCAGGCCAGGCTGTGGAGCATTTATTTAGCCAGAGCAGCAAGGGCTGTGAGTGGGGAGGGCCTGGGGCGGGAGACAGGAGGGATGATTGTCCAAGCGCCGGGGAGCCCCTGGGCCGGGGAACCAGACTGCTTCCCCCGGGACCCCCGGGGCTTCAGGGTACGGGCAAGGTCGCCATGGAGACGCGGTGCGCCAGGCGGGAAGGGACGGCTCTGGGGTGGAGATCAGGGTGCAAGCAGCGGCCTCGCGTGGTCAGGCGGCCGCAGCGAGTGCCACTGGGCGACCGGCCGCCGGGGGTTGGCCAGCATGTCGGCCCAGTGCCGCAGCCCAGCCCCGCCGGTGGCTGTGCCCACCGCCACCCGCCCGATGGCCTCGTTCTTGCCCAGCTTGTCGTAGTCCAGCACGGTCAGCTCCACTTGCACCTTCTAGGGGCGGCGGGGGGAGGGGAGGGGAGAGGGGGAGGGGCAAGCTCAGGACGCGCCGCCCTGCGGGAGGGGCTGGGACGCGGCCAGTGGTGCGGCCACCCTGGAGGTTTTCTTCCTTCAAAAACCGACTGCTTTCTTCTCGGTGGGGCTGAGGCTCGAACCCAAGGCCTCTCGAATGCTGGACAGGTGCTCCTTGCTGAGGCACACCCCCAGCCCCTGCAGCAGGTTTCTTTTTTTCCTTTTTTTGGTACCGGGAATCGAACTCAGGACCTTGCGCTTGCCAGGCAGAGCTCTATCCCCGGCCCCTGCAGCAGGTTTCTCAGGAGACAAACCCGTGGGACTGCTACGGGCTGCCAGGGCTCCTTCGGGTGCAGAGCTCCTGCCCGGGTGTCGGGGCCAAGCCTCAGGCCTGGCTGCACCCTGTCCTGCGAGGGCTCTTTCCAGGCCCGCCTTCCTAAGCCGGGGGTTTAGAAGACCCCTCCCTCGGGGCGCTGGGGCTCCGCCCGCGCAGGAGGGAGCCCAGGGCCGGCGCGGGCCGCTCACCTGGACTTGGTCGCAGGGCACCTCGAAGCTGAAGGCCTCGTTGTAGTAGGGGTTCAGCGTGTTCTTCTTGATGGTGGTTTTCTTCTTGCGCACCTTCTTGCCGCCCTGCAGCAGGTGGACCTTGACGTAGGGATCTGGGCGGAGGAAGGAGGCGTCTCACAGCTCCCTTTCGGGGCGCGGGGCGGGGACCTTCTCCACACGGCCACGCGGACACCCCGCGCGCCCCGTCCCTCTGGGCGCACGGCAGGTCGGTGCCCGCTCCCCGCGGCCGCGGCTCCCTCTGCCCCAAGCGGCCCGCCCACTCCGCGGCCTGGCTCCCACGCACCCGACAGCCCGCCTACGTCCATCTTCTTCAGGTTCTTGGCTTCCAGGACGATGACAGTGAGCTTCCCTGCCGTGGGGACGTAGCGGAGGGAGAAGCAGATGTCCCCCAGTTTCTCCAGCTGAAGACGGAGCGGACCGTGACCGGAGCGCCCTCCGCCCACTCTCTCCCACCTGTCCTCCTCCTACGGCTTGACATGGGAGCGTCCAGACCCAAGCGCCGGTGTCAATCTAGTCCCCATAGCGGACCCTTGGCGCAGGTGCAGGCGATCTGATTGGCCCAGGGTAGAGATGGGTGGGGCGTCCAATGGGGATGGGGGCCGTTCAGGTATGGGCGAGGCCTCGGGTAGGGAACGACGGCCAGGCACGCTCACCTCCTCCCTCGGAGCCGCCTGCAGTTCCCGCCAGGCCTGCACTGGGCGTCCCAAGTCCACCGAGCTCATGGGGACCCGCACCTCCCCGATGGCATCGTTGCGGGAGAAGCGGTCGAAGTCGTACACCGCCATGACCAGCACTCTGCCCCCCAGCTCCACATAGGGGACCTGGGTAGTAGCACAGAGACAGCACAAGGCGGAGGGCACTGAGAGAGGAGAGGCGGGGAGTAGAGTAGGTCCGGGTGACGCGCGAGTGGGTGGAGAGGGTTCCAGGGAACCTAGCGGGGAAATAGGGAACCTTCCCACCGCGTCGGCGGATCCCGAATGGGAACACCATGGGCCCAGGGGGCGGCAGTGCCAAAGGGACAGCCCCAGGACCAGTGCAGTAGCCCCCAGGGCTGGCGGCGCCCTCGGCTGCAGCTCCTCCTGGGAGCAGGCCGGTGGGGGCAGGGCGCTCACCTTGAAGGCGAAGGTCTCCCCGAAGTGTGGGTTCAGCGTCTGCCGATGCACCTTGGTCTCGTGTCGCCTCCGCTTGTCTGGCAGCAGATAGACCCGCACATAGGGGTCCGAGGAGCCACCCAGGTCCAAGGCCGCCAGTCCCTCCGCTCGCAGGACGCCCACCAGCAGCTGCAGATGCCCAGCCTCAGTTGCAGGGACCCTGATCTTGGGCTCCCCTCCAGGCCTCCCCAGGGAACACCCTCCTCCTCATACCCACCTGACCGCTCTGGAAATCATAATCCAGTGAGTATTGCAGTCGTCCTAGCTCATGCTTCTCTGATACCTGCTGCCCTGGCCCAGCTGGCATGGGCTCCAGCTCCTCCACTTCCGGCTGCACCTTAGGGAGCCAAGGGCAAGGGCAGGTGAAGTCGTTCAGATAGCAGCATCCTCCAGGTTCAAAGCCATGGAGGCTCCTAGATCGCTTGAGCTATGCCTGATCACTTGGAGGCTAAGCAGAGTCAGGGTTTGATTAGTGATGCTTGCCACCAGCAGGAACTACACATTGCGGCAAGAGATTTCTCAGAATTTGATTAGTGATGTCTGTTATGGGCAAGGACTTGGTATAGTGGTACATAGTGTTCTCATGCTTAGACTAGAACAAGTGCCCACAGGAAAGATGTAGAAGGCTATTTTGCATGCTAATGGATATATTGGGGTAGTAATCCGAGTTGCCACATTGGTTGATGATCGTCCCAGCACAAAACAGGGAGGAGAAACGACATATTTACTGTGTCCTTCACATTCTAAAGCAAAACAAGAGAAGAAGGCTTCTCCTGAGCCCAAGCCATCAATTCTCAAGATTCATTGTGAATTGGAGTTCCTGAGTCTTGTGGTAAAATGTGGGGTCACTTTTTTTTGTGGTACCAGGAATTGAACTCAGGACCTTGTGCTTGCTAGGCAGGCACTTATACTGCTGAGCTATATCCCCGCCCCAAGGGGTCATTTCTTTAGGGAGTTATGATTTGGTAGGTCTGTATGACATTCCATCCAACAAACACTGCAGATGACCTGATTCACGGCACTTGGATATTGGGGGCTTAGGGACAGAGAGGGGACTGCTCCTCTTGCTCAAGATCTTCCCCAAACTCCTGATTGCCCTCATGATGTGGCTATAGCTGAGCTGACCAGGTACCCTACTCTAGTGCTCAGCAATTTGTACTGTACTCCCAGCCACTGTGAAAAATGACTCTTTGATCCCCAAATGAAGTCAGGCCCACGCACATTCTCTCTCTTTGATTTGAATGCCCCCCCCCTTTCCGAGACAGGGTCTCGCTATTTAATGCAGGCTGGCTTTGAACTCACTTATCTGGCTTAGGCTGGCCTCAAACTCATGGTGATCCTCCTGCCTCGTCCTCCTGAGTGCTAGCATTATAGGTGTGTACCACCCCACCTGGCAAAGGTCCTCTTTGGTCTGGGCTAGCTCTGTCCCTTGGGTCTCATCGACGAAGTCACCTCTCCCAGGAAGCCGCCTCTGCCCCTCCAGGGCAGCGGTGGCATATCTGTGGTATGCATGCCACAGCTGGCTGTTCGCTATCACTGAAAGCTTGGAAAGGTTCCCCACTGCTCTAGGCTGTCAGGTGCCCTCTGCCATCCTGGATGCCCTGTTTTGGCGCTCAGGGGACACACACCAGCCTGCACGGCAAGTGTCTGTCTTCCCCACCACACTGTGACGCTCCTGCAAACAGCCACTAGATCTGGCCCATGTCCAGGACCCCGAGTCCAGCTGAGAGCTGGACACACAGGGAAGCGGAGTGCACCTGCTGGGGTTAGGGGGAAGGCACAAGGGACGGAGCGGCCCAGGGAGCGCACAGGGAAGGGCTGGGGGCTGGGCCAGGCCACACCTTGTCTATGTAGCTCCGGCCCAGCTCCTTCACTTCCCGAAGGTGGACCTGGGCGTGTGCCTGGCTCTTCTTGCCCGACCGCTTCTGACAGCGCTTCCGGCAGAGACAGAAACCACAGCTGAAGACCAGGAGGCCTGAGACCAGCACGATGGTGGCCAAGGCCCAGGGCGGCACTGCGGAGGGGAGGGGGGACTGGCGTCGGTGCCCTGGGAGGCCCACCGGCTGTGGAAGCTGGAACCCCGGCCTTGCCCACCCCCCAGCCATTCAGTCCTTGCAAACGATCTCACCTGAAAATCTAGCTGATGCCTTAACCCAGGCTGACGCTATTTTGCTTTCTTATTCGTTCCATTTCATTTCCACCCCAATTTCTGCTCAACACCTGACGCTTTTAGAAGAAGCCCTGCCCCGCCCTGGATCCCCGTTTCCCTATCTGTAAAATAAAAGAGGTGAATCCTCCCATTCATGGACCCCAGATTCCACTCCATCCCACACTCCCGGATCTGCTTCTGCTTTTCCTTCCTAACCTGTTCCATCTGCTCCCCATTTCTTTCAAATTCCGGTCAGGATGTTGACCTCCAAATCCCAGCTTTATTGCTCCCCGCCCCCCCGCCCTTCCCCAGGGGTCCCACGGGCTCCGTGTCTGCGCAGCCCCGGTCGCTCACCTGCACCCTGGCCGATGCGGCTGGAGTCCGGAGGCGCGTCGGGAGTCGGAGGCCCTGGGGTCTGGGGCTCCGGGAACATGATGGCAGGGTCTCGCGCTCCTTGCTGCTGCGGCACCCAAGCTCCCTAGGCCCCCAGCCCCACCCCAGCATCCACTGAGTCCTCCACTAGAAGACCTCCGGCTGCATGACTCTCTGGGCCTGCTGGGAGTTGCAGACTCCGCCTCGCCACGCCAAGGAAGCCTAGGCCTTGGGGTCCCAGTTCCATCCCACAGGACGCCTCTGCCCTCCAAGGCACCCTCAGGCATCTCCAAGATTTCTGCCCCTTCCAGGCTGAGCCGGAAGTGGGCGAAGGCGGCGTGGGAACCAGTGGATCTAGTTGCCTGGAGCAACCGCCTGGCTCTACACCGAGGGGTGTGAGCACCTCTGGTTGCCGGGCAACGGCCTGTTGCCAGGACAACGGGCGGGGCTGACGCACAGAAGCGGAGTCGGGGCGGGGCCGGCTGGCTCCGGGCGCTGTGAGCACCCGGGACCCCGGACCCAGATCCAGAGGCTGGGGAGCAGCGCCCCGCTGCATCTGGCCCTCGCCCGCTCTTGCTGAGGGCGGATGGGGGTGCCGGATGCCTCTGCCGGGTCCCCACGTTATCTGGGCCTGTGGGTCTCCCCTGTGCGCCCCAGCTCTTGTCTTCACAGCCGTCCTCGCCACTGCCCCAGTCTCCCCCGCCTAGACCCCAGACCGGCGCTGCCCAGCCTGACCGTCCCCCGTGTCTCTGGACCCCGTCTCCTGCGCCCGCCGGTGGCCTGGCCGGCGTCCGGGGCGCCCCTCCCCCTGCAGCCTTTGTCTGCACAGCCGGCTCGCCTCGCGTCTCTAAGCCGCGTCTGCAGGGTCCAGGCTCCAGCCTCCCGCGCTCTCGCTCGGCCCTTCCCACTGTCCCTCCACCCGCCCACGCGCGTCCCTTGGGTGGACCGAGGAGGGCTCTGGCCCGCTCCTACCTGCTGGGCGCGGGCCGGACCTCCGAGCCACGTGGGCGGCGCTGTCCCGGGTGCTGAGCGCCGAGCCGGCTTGCGCGAGCCGGGGAGGGAGGACGCGCTCCGCCCCGCGGCCCGCCCCGCCGGGAGCCGCAAAGGCGCCCCCGCTCCACGTCCGTGCCTGCCCTAGCATTTTCTGCACTCTGGTCCAGCCGTCCAGCCGACGCACCGCTCACCGGCTCCTCAACGCACACACCTCACACCGGGGCCCGGGACCCCAGAGAACCCCTCCTGGAGATGGGGTACCCTGCCCCGCCGCCACCCGGGCTCCCAGTCACCACCTCACACACGCGCGTGCACACACCACACTCCTCGGCCCGGGGGCCTTCCCTAAGAGCTGTCCACGCCTGCCTACCTCAGGTGCAAACCTGCTCAAGAGCTAAAGGCAGGCGCCCTCCCGAACCCCACCCCAATATCTCTCCGGATGCAGAAACCCAGTGGAGCAGCCTCTGAGGAGAACAGTGATTTAATAAATTACGGGATGTAGGAAAATGTGGAACAAGGTTCAGGGAGAACACAGGCAGGGCATCGCCTTGGCCTCAGACCCCGCACGCCGGCCCTGGCTTCCGAGGAACAGCAGAGCGGGGGTCCCGCCTGCCCCTGCCCCTGCCCCTCAGGCCCGGAGTCCTTCCTTCCTGAGAGCCGCGGCTCCGCTGATCCTGGGGAGCCCTCAGAGGGCCAAGCTCCTCCCCCAGAGAGCCCCGACGCCCCCACCCTACCTCCTCAAGGGACCAGGGCCTAGGCCCACCCTGCACAGGACAAACTCCAGTGCGGCAGAGGAGCCTACACTCCCAGCACCCTCCCCACAGGGCCCCGGGTGCTGGGCCCAGCCCTCTGCTGTCCCAGGGTCCAGGGATCTGGCTGGGCGCCCCGAGCCCCAGGGTGCTGGGCTGCGGGCCTAGCCCCCAAGCTTAGACCTGCAATGTTTGGGCCCGGATGGCGTCCGCATTCTCATAGATGAGGTTCACCACACTCTCATACTCTCCGTCCTTCTGGGCCACGGTGTCCGCTGACAGCTCGAGGTGGCGCAGGATGCACTGGTGCAGGAACACGTACTGGGCCTGGGGGTGTCGCAGGCAGGCTGAGCACTGCGCCCCGAGCCCATCACCCACCACCCAGGGGCGGGGCGCCCTCACCTCCGTCTGCACCATCAGGGGCCGGCTCTGCCTCATCTTCCTCACAAACCCGAAGGGCCCCAGGAGGCCTTCCTGCTCCAGCTGCTGCAGCAAGACGATCAGAGCGATGAGGGTACCCGTGCGGCCCACGCCAGCGCTGCGGAGGACAGGACGGGGCGAGGGTCAGGCCAGGCGTGGGCAGGCAGGGGTCTGCACACTCCACCCAGGATCCCAGTAAGTGGGGGCCGCTTATCTCAGGAGAGAGCGATGACAGCCTTGCCTGGGCTCCCGCCCTCTGTGAGGTCCTGGCCCAACTCCCCAGCCTAAGAAGGGGAGTTACTTGCCCAATGGGGAAAGCCAGGCAGAGACCTGGGGCGGGGATGAGACCCAGGAAGATGAGCTCCCAGCTGAGCACTTGTAAATTTCTTTAAACCACTTTAATTGGCCCATCCAGCGGCATTTTGTACATTTATGATGCTGTGCAGAACACTTTCATTGCCCCAAAAGGAGACCTCATACTCATTAAGCAGTTACCCCTGTCCCCTTCTCCCTCCAGCTCTGGAAATCTGCCTTCTGTCTCTGAGGAATTACCTGTTGTGGATAGTGCATGGTTTTTTTTGTTTGTTTGTGTTGTTTGTTTTTTTTGTTTGTTTTGTTTTGTTTTTGTCTTTTTCAGACAGGATCTCGCTATGCAGTTCAGGCTGGCCTTGCACTCACTTTGTAGCCCAGGCTGGTTTCAAACTCACAACAATCCTCCTGCCTCAGCCTCCCAAGTGCTGGGATTACAGGCGTGCGCCACCATGCCCCGCAAGGATATTGCATATTAATAGAACTGGGCGTTATATATTTTTTGTTCTATCTGGCTTCTTTCACTGATATACTCTTTTCTTTTCTTTTCTTTTTTTGAGACAAGGTCTTACTGTGTATTCCAGGCTGGCTTTGAACTCACTATGTAGCCTAGGCTAGCCTCAAACATGTGGTGATCCTCTTGCCTCAGCCTCCTTAGTGCTGAGATTATAAGCGTGCGCCACCATGCCAGTCGTGACATAATATTTTCAATCTTTTTTTCTTCCTTTGAGACAGGGTCTCAATAAATTGCTAAAGCTAGCCTTTTTTTTTTTTTTTTCCTTTTTTTTTTGAGAGAGGGTCTCACTATGCAGTT